ATTTGACATATGATAAATGAGGCTTACTAATAGTAATGAATTATAAAAATATCAGTAGATTTCAAACTTTGTTATTTAATTGAAATGATATCTGCTTACAAAATATATTTATACATAATTTATAAATGTATAATTTGTTTTTATGTACTAAGAGTTTTTAGCAAGTTGATACTTACTCCGACTATTACTATATTAAAGTGTAATAATGTAATAAGACTGAGGGTTTCTTCATGCAATAGTATTTTTTAATCTTTTAGTATTAAAAAATAATAATTGTTTACTCACAAACTTAAAGAAATACAAGAATTAGCTGTTTATAGCACAGTTTATCAACTTTATATTGTAAAAGAGATACTGTATTTTTTTACAATTTTTTGTTATTGTAAGAGATGTATATATACAAACATGCATATACGTATTTTAATATTTCAGAATGATAGACCACTGGTTGCACATTTATCCTGTTTTACAAAAGTGCTGATTATCCCATACTTTGTAATGTAATTTGATAATCATATGTGCAAATAGTATATGAATTTATATGTTGGTGTCATTTGCATAGCCTGAGAAGAATTTTGCAATTATTTACTGCTTAGCTAGTATTTTTGCTTTGAAAAAAAAGTGGCTTAGCTTTCCTCCAACTGACAACTTCATAAAGATTAGTCAAAAACATAAGTGGACAAGTAAATGAATAATCATAAAGATACTCATTTAATAAATACTGTAATTACTACTTTAATTAATTCAATTGGGAAGCTGGAGAATTCAACCATTCCCTTGTCAGAACTCAAACCACAGTTGCCAGTTGAACCGTTTACATCATGAGAGCATGCATGGGGAAATCAGATAATTTTTTACATTTTCTCTTCTTAAAAGGTGACTGGGGAAAACTTTATTCGACCAAATCTGACTCATGTTTTAGTTTGGGTGCTACCGTTGAGTTAATTTGTCTTAGATTGGAATGAAAACCACACATCTCCCATTTGCCAGCTGGATGTGATAACTACTCATACCATGCATAGTGGGATGCAATAATTCCCTGAAACTATTAATATATAAGATCACATGAATACTATGTCACACAAAAAAATTCTTTGAAGTAACTTGTATATAACAAGCCAATCCTATATATTTATCAATTTAAATCCATTGGACTTAGATCCAGTGCAGTTATAAATACATCAAATAACACCAGATTAATATATCTCAGTATCTAACTGCTAATTTTATATACCGTTTCATTAAGTAATGCATAATTGTCCCATTTTCAGGTATTTTGTGCTTTATGGTTTTTTGCTTGTGGATCATGTCACTAGTCTTAGCATATGAATTTTCAGTGCCAGTCAGTCAGCCTATTGGTAGCAGTGGAGTTTCTCATAATTACATGGAAGGGCAGTCCTTTTTAATTTTTGCAGTTTATTCTAAAATACAATATCCAGAGCCGCCGGTTGGGAAAAGAATTTTCTAAATAAAAATCATTTAAAAAGTATTTTAGAACAAAAAATTCATGCATTTAAGAAACCCACATTTAAACAGATTGCGTAAACTGCATGTTTACACATTTAGGAAAGCTTTCTTTCTGCCTACAGTATAGAAACTGGAGCAATTAAGTTGACTTCTACAATGTCATCAAGGGTTTCGAGAACAAAAAAAGAAAAAACAGCAAAATAATGCTACAATTTTAAAATACTGGAATTAAATTTTTTTTTCAAAAATAAACGTAAATTTATTTCCCTATAAGTCATTTTTTAGTTATTTGTTTGTATATTAAGAAGGGCTGTAAATTCAACGACCATATGGGAAAACGGGCTCAAATAAATATTACTAGAACTTAAGCCATGGGCTATAATGTGCATCACTTGTCTGTATTATGATTGGTCTAAAGCTGCCCAAAGACTTGTCCCCTCTCAATGAATTCAAATAAACCCGGCCACGTATCAGAATGATTTTCTGTGTAAATTTTGAGGTAGTAGATGATACTGTTTTTTTGAGTCAATATTGTATGCGCTATAGTATGTGAGATCCAGTGATTATAGAATAGGGGTCCTGGTCAGAACTATCAGTATTCAATGATTTTATTGCTGGGCTGGTGGGCATTTGAAAATAGGAAGGGGGGTAAATCAAAATATGTAGAATGTCAATACAACTCAATGACTAAGCTATGAAAAATTGCAACAAATTATAATTTATAGTATAAGAATTTTTCAGCAACACACCACGGTAATTTTTTATGAGGAAATTTATCAATGCCTAGTCACTAACACTGCCAGTATTCCAGAAGAGTATATCTGAAAGTTATGATTATGGAAGTGATTTGCAGAATTTTCTTAATCTCTTGAAATGTTCACATGTTGAAATTACAGCCTTATTAGTTTTTATCACTGATATTTCCATCTTCATTTATGAGACATTTACAAAGAATTAATAAGACGGTAATTGTAATAAAAATGTTATAAAGTTTTTTTTTTTTTTTTTTAATTGGGGATGCAAATTGGTTCCTTTAAATGCTTTAAATATAAATAAATAATTTTAAAAACAACATTTTAAAGTTAACTTAATGCAAAATGCATACAAAAATGAGATTACTACCAGAAAATATGGCTATAAAATTCAGCATGTTCCATTTTTTTAGAAAATTAGCCTGGTCTTTCAGATCAAGACATAGGAGATGATATACTGTAGTCATGGGTTTAAAAAGAATTGAAGAAAAAAGTAACTCATGGTTTTAAATAATGCAGACTGTAAGATGTGCTTTTGCTTAATAATATCATAAATACTTATTTCTATATTAATTGCCAAAATTAACTATTGTGGGGCGTCCAGATAATAACTGTCTAAAACAGTTTTGCCCTCATTGGGTCAAATAAAAAGAATTCTACACTATCAGCACCAATAATATAATAATAATAATAATAATAATAATAAATAATAATAATAATAATATGATGATTATAATAAAATAATATTAAAAAGAAAACTAATTTGCACCCAGAAATTACTTTTAAATATCATAAAAATTATGAGAAAAAGGTATCAGTCAGTCTTACCTGTATAATTTTATTCTAAACCAAGGAAACAGCGCAGATTTATTCGTATTTATCATTTTAAAGCTTGTAATGACAGCATAATCTGGTTTGGGAAGAATAACACCAGGAAATAAATCAGAAATAATGCCTTCAAATAGAGGGACATCCTTTATTTAAAAGAAAAAAAAATCAGGTTATATTGCCAACCATTGCTCTGAGATACCTGTCACATAAGAAATTAATTCTGAGGACTTTTAATTATAAAACATTGAGAAATTATAAAATGCTAAGAAAATACTTTCTTTTATCTCACCACCATAATTATAAAATGGTGAGAGAAAATATTTTCTTTTATTTCAACATCACTGCTTGTCATTTTATAGTTACCAAATTTTATTTTATTTGGAACGATAAAAAGAGGATGATAAACTATCTTTTTTTTTTTTTTTTTTTTTTTATAGTAAAAGATTGTTTGAATATTTTAACTACTACCACATAACAAAACCAAAATAAATTTGTTTTAGAGAAATACTTTATGGATGCAGATTGTAACCAATGACCAGCATTTTTAAGTTACATATTACCAGGATACTCTATATCCATTATGAACAAAAACATCATAATCATATTTTTTTGAGAAATATAACTTATAAATAAAATTCAAGTTATTGTTTTGAATGCAAGTGAAAAAGGGGAACATATTTTCAAGAAAAAGTTATTTTGCATTTTCTGAAGTTTGAAGTTGATTTTGAATAAAATCCTTGTATGCTATTAGTTTTGTGAGTATTGGAGAAAAAAATAATTTCATGCAGGAATGACTTCATGAAACCTACCTAGTGGAATGAGTTTGGTTTTGAAAATTCTAATACAAAAATGGGGGAAAATAATAATTAAACTAGAATAATGATAATAGAAAAAAGTTAGATTCTATTCCTTGTTTCTGTAAAATGGGTAAAAAACTATACTAAATTGAAAAAGGTTAAAAACAGTATCCTTTTAACAGAAAGAAAAATACACGAAGCACTTTTTTTTTCTGTTCACAGTATATTTTAATATTTAATAGTAATTACATTCATCACATAATCATATTACCTACAAAATATTTTATTCAATACTTTTCCACTCTCAACCTGAGCATATGATATTTAAAGCAAAGTATACCTTAAAACATAATTTTAAAAATATATAATTCACATTTGAAAATTAAAGAAACAAATGTTCATATGTCACAAAATGCATGTCAAAAAAGAATGGGGCTAACATTCTAAAATACAGCACACAGTACTATCTTCTGGCAACAATTCCAATGATGAACATAAAAATGCATCAACAGCTAGGACTGATTCCTTCATCACTTATATAGCATTTTGATTGAAAACATAATTTGGATTGGTCTACTTCTTAAGACTGAACATGATACTGTATTAGACAAATTCAATATTTTTCGTTATTTTATTACCTCCAAAGGATTTAGTGAAAATGCAAGAAAATCTTAAATTCATACATATGAGACAAAAGAAGTTTTGTCATGAATGTGCAATGCAACATACAGTAATCTTTATGATATTGCTAATCTTACTATGTGTAATTCATCAATTAAATTTCACCATATTTATATGTGTTGAATGAATACTGTATTACATAAAGTAAACCAAGTAAAGATTTGTCTATGATCCTCACAGCATATTACTAGCAAACAGAGAAATAATATTTTTGGCATTATATAAACATGTTTTCTTATAAAATTACATACAAGTAAAATGTTAAAGTAAAAAGTAAAAAGTTAAAACAAGTAAAATGAACCTATTGTTCACGTAGCACTTACCTGTGCAAGAAATTTTGCCAGATTTACATCATTAATAGCCCTAAGGACTAAAATAGCTTCCATCTCTTCAGGATATTTCAGTTTAAGATTTCCAGCAGCAGTAAGAACAGATTTGACAGCACGCATACCATAATCATAATGATGTTGTGATGATAATTGTTCTGAGCATAATTTGTAAGTTGCCACAATTTTCCCAGCTAAACTGCATATGAAAGTACAATACTTCTTAAAATTTTAAAATAAACTAACATGTGAAATTTTTAAAGGAATTTCTATTTTTTATTTAATACTGAAAATCTGGTCTCCAAACAAAAATTATATATGGCACCATATAAAATATCTTTTAAATTTTATGTTTTGTTGAATAAATAATTCCTTTTCATAACTACAACATTTAAAGTTAAAATACAGAAACTGCCCTTCCTTAAAGTGAGGAAGAGAAGACCTTATTTTGTTCCTAATAGATACAGTTGAGTTGTAGTTTTCACGAAAAGGTTTTTAAAAAATTAAGTTTATTAATTGAAAAAGACAGAAAATCTTAATCACAAACCATCAGCATAAAATAGAACTGTCTACAGAATATACAGAAAAGAAAAGAAAAAATGTGGAATTATGGCGGTGATAGCAAATGGTGTCATAGTATTTAGGATCTGTTTTGTTCCAGAATAGTACATAATTTGTTTGAATGCAATGGAGGATATATAAGCTGTGTACAGTCAAAAATAAAAAGTTTAAATTGAGTTTTAATTCAATGACATTGTTAAAATTCTCTTCTGGATATTGTTCTTTAATGTTACTTATAACTGTGTTTAATCATTTCTAATTATCTTCATTCTGTTAGTTACAGATTTTTTTTGGCTTGTTTTGAATACTGATTTAACGTACATAATTAAATGACCATATTCTCCAGATTAAATTCCTTGAAAATACAGATAAAATGTTAAAAATAGTGTTTGTTTAATATAATATGGGCTATTCTTCTTTCCGGTACTTTTAACTGCTATTGGATTAAATATGATTTTGAGTTGACCATAGATTTTGTTGTCTCCAATACTATCCAGGTAAATCAGAAGTTGACTATGTTATTAAAAAAAAAAAGACAGTTTTTAATCCTTTCAGGACGGGCGTCCCATATTCGCATTCCCTAAGAATATCTCTTACAGCCAGGTGTCCCATCCACGCATCAATAGAGATTGCATTCAGAGGATGGGTGATGCATACATGTATTTTAAGCTGGAATTTTTTTCTGAAGGCCACTTAAATAAACCACTTTACTAGATGGCATCCTATGTCCATTACTTTTGAAATGAACATAGTTTTAGGTTCCCGACCTTGAGTTTTATATATTCTGTCTGACTTTGGTATTTTACTCATCAACTGCTGCCAGGGAGGGCGTAAACAAAAGTGGGCTCTTTAAATCGCGGCATGTTAATATAAACATCCGCATGTCTGATGTATAACCAATTCCTTTTTATTCTATTTCCCCCATACTATGTACCGTCTTTTAGGGTTACTTATGTGGAGTTCTGTTACATTTTGCATTACGTTCAGATATATTTCCGTTTCTTCTCTTTTTATTTAGGAAAGCCTCACCTCAAGTCCATTATGGCATGAAGGTGCTATTTTTCAGAGAAAGAATACACTTGTATGGTTAATGAACCATTTAATAACACAGATGAGAGTGATGATTCATTTTCTAAAGAGTTAGAAAGTGACTTTTCTAATAGTTAAGTGATACTTATCTGTGCTTCGAGATTTACCACACTCAGTCTTCATTTTAAATTTTGTTACTTCTTACTGTAAATAGTCTTTATTGTGTTCTTTTATTAATTTTAAACTTTATTGATGGGTTTTATCAATTAAAACTTTTCATTACATAAGAATAATTTGAATAGCGCTTCCGAAAATAATTTTACAAGATAAGCAATTTTTTAAAGAATATTTTCATGTAAAATAAAGAAAAAAATTTTATTAAGTACTAATTTAACATATATAATAGCTCAAGTAATAATCTAAAATGATACCAAAAATTATGCTGCTAGAAGCAAAACTTTTTTTTTCTGATTTTTTTTTTTTAAATTAGGCTTAGCGAGGTAAAACCTACATCCTGTATGGTGACTGCCTTCGATTCTCTTCTGTCCCGCACGAGCCTCTTAAACAAAGGTGTGCCATCGCGAAAGGGTTTAAGTGTGCTTCTGAAGAACAAATAAACTAATGAATGTTAGTTGAATGACAGATACCTACTCTCTGTTCATAAAATACTTAATTTAAAGTTAACAAGATAATTTTTTCTTTCATAAAAGATAAAAGTAAAATAGCAGCACCAGAAATCAATCAATCACAAGTTGCAACTCTTTTTTAAATTATACTACTACAGAATTTATCTGAGTGACAAAATAAATGCTTTAAAAAATATATATGGATAGTTTTTAACGCCCAAGATTGCTAAAAATGATTTGTCTCTGAACAGCAGCTTCCATGGAATGATTTTATGGTTTATTATACTTCTCAAATGTGTTTGTGAAAAGAAAATTACTGAAATGATAATTAAGATAGTTAAGAAACTGCCATAAGAGGAAATGAAGACAGCCAGTATGAGCGTTTTTTTGAAATAATAAAAGAACATTTTAGTTTATATATCATTCTGATGTGAAAATATAAATTGTGTAAGAAATTCATATTTTGAAATAATATTTTAAACATTTAATGCTAAAATTAAAATTCATTCAATACACAGAAAATTCACTAAACTTTTGAAATAAAAAATTTATAAATAAGCAACTGGGAAGAAAAAGAAAACAAATCACCTGCGAGCCTCAACAAAACCCATTGAATATAATGAAATTTCCCCAATGAGTGCATAATCTGGAACCATCATAGCAACTGTCCTAAATAAAACCTAAAAGGAAGAATGAAGTTAATTTTTTATCTGTAGGAAGTGAAATTTAAAGCACTAATTTAATCAGTGATTTGATTAAGATTTTGTTCAGGTCCTACAGAAATAGCATATTTTAGATATAAAAGGGATTATAGAAGCACATTGAGGGGGAAGCAGCAGTATATTTAAAAAACTGAAATAATTTAGAGCACCTTCTTGAAAAAACTATAGGACTATGTAAGAACATTATAAAAGGGGAAGTATTTTCAATGCTATTAAGACATTTCTAGTGACATCAGAATACAAGAATTTTGAGTTTTGTTTTATTTAAAATCACTCTAATATCATGAGTATTTATTGAAACTATTATAAAAGTTTCAAAAGTATTAGCATTTACATTTCAGTACAAAACTTTAGATGAACTTCATTAAAAAAAAAAAGTATGTTCCTTTTTATATAGAACAGAGATTAAACAAATAACTGGGCATTTAATTTCCGGAATAATTTGCACTGATAATTTTAGTTTAAAAAAAAAAAAAAAAAAAAACAGTTTTTAAACATTCAAGAACTGTAGATTTTGCTTAAATTTTATTTATTTTTACAGTTCTAAGCATTTAAATTTGGTTTTGTGTTAATTTTTTAAAAATACTGTTTGGTATTTTGTCTATATTTTGGAATACTCTTACCCATTTATAGTTCTGAAAAATTTTGTTATCTATCTTGGTATAAAATCTGAATACAAACAGAAAAATTAAGCATTTTTGCTAGACTGGTTACATAAAGTAATAAGTAACATTTAAAAATAAAATGTACCTTCAAATTGTCAGGTAGTTCTTGTCGACCAGCATAGCCAGGATTCATGGTAATGAACATATTACAAGATGGATTCAGTGACAGCTCTGTGCCTTCGAAATTAAATTGCTTTAACTTCTGAGCTTTTGCATGCTGTATACTATGAATTTGTTGTGCTACAACAGACAGCACTTCAAGTTCAATGCGATTAAACTCATCAAAACAAGCCCATGCTCCAGACTGTGCTAATCCCTTGAAGAACTTTCCCATTGCTTTAAAATCCAGCCCATCAGAACAGTTGAACACTACACACTAAAGAAAATTTACAGTAATATAATGAAATTAATACTGAAACAAAAATTATTCTATAGACATATACAAAAACAGAAAATTCTAGCAAATAGTTGTAAAATGTCATTATTTGCTTAGAATTATTTTTTGTTTCATATTTAAGAAAATTTTCAAATAGTTATTTAAGAACTTCACCATTAATGCATATGCAAACAGTTTTAAGATTATGATTTAAAAATGGAAATGTCTATGAATCTTATGGCTACTTAATATTTAATGAATAAGCTGCCATTAAATTTTAAGTAGCATACAGTTAAATTTCTCTTAGTAATATTTAATTATGATTAAAACTATCTTTAAATAAAATGTTATTTATTATTATTTTTTTAATATTTAAGTGAAGCATATTTTTTTAGGAATCTACACATTTAATTTCACAAAATACATTTCAGTAATATCAAAGTTTGGCATTTTTAAAAGATACGATATCTGGTTTAAAAGCATGGATATAATTTTATGATTGAAGAATTTTTCTTCATTAGGAATATAAAATGAATTTATTTACAACATTATTATCACATTATACATTAATTTGTGAAAAATAGAATTATTCATGAAAGAGCAAGACATCTGATATTGTAAAACTGCATAAAAATAAGAATACTTAAATAAGTACTAAAAGGAAATGACTTAAAATGTTAATAAAAGATTTTGATTTGATGCATAATATTATTCAAATTATATTGCAAAATAGCTTTACTTTTAATTTAATTATTTTATAGATAAATCAAATATCATTTTAGTTATGAATGATTATGTCATTAATACACTAAGGGAAAATTTTATACACATAGTGCAAAAAAAAAGTGTGGTTTTGATTAAGAGAGAAAAAACATTTTTTATAACATTCAAAATTATCATTTTATTCAGTGTGTGTATAGTATTTAAAAGATGCGATTGTAGGTGAATTCTATTAAGCATAATCATAGTTTAATCTCTACTTTATAATACAACAGTATTTTAGTTTAAAAAAAAAAACTTAATGAAAACTTTATTTAATAGATTTATGTGCTCTTTGAAATGAAACATATGTTTATAAACCTATTTAAGTGAAACTACATATTCATATAAAAGATAAAATACTGAAGTTCTTTATGCAGAAAATTAAGATTATAGTAAGATAAAAATAACTACTAAGTAATGAAAATTTGTGCAGAATTACAGCGAACCATTCCAATTTTAACACTGATGTGTGATTACTAAAGTTATCTTTAATGATGTTGCATTGTAAATAATGATATATAATTAAAATATTCTACCTGCTTAGCCACAGCTTTTGCTAAATCTTTGCTTGTCTCAGTTTTACCTGTTCCAGCAGGTCCCTCAGGTGCACCACCAAGATTTAGTTTAAGTGCTCCCATGAGAGTTCTGAAAACAGCTTTATAATTAAACCATGCAAAACATATGTAAACAACAGAAAATTTATTTAAAATTTCTGTTTGAATAACTTCAAAAAAAAAAATAAAGGATAAGATGAAAGTTTTAATTCTATATTTTAAGTTTCAAGTTATGAATAAAAATGTTTTTACCTATAACAACGATCAGTTAATGGTGTTATGACTAATCGAGGTGTATTTCCAAGATATTCATATCCATATTCAAGATCAGTTGTAATCATTCGTACTATGATAGTATTATTTTCCCAATAGTAACGAAGTTGACTTATCCAGTTGAAGTCATTCACGTCAGTAATTTTCTGTTCAGCTAATTTGGCAACTTCATCTCGAGCTATTGTTCAAGAAATAGTAAAATACAAAGAAGAAAATATTAGAACTCCTAATTTTTAGAATTTAAAATATCTAAAAAATTAGAATAAGATACTGAATGCTATAGCTAAATTTCAAAGGAATAAATTAAGATTTAAACCCTAATATCAAAGCCAACAATAACAGCAAAAAAGAATTTTCATCTGATAGTAAACATTTTTTAAAGAAAATTTGTTTCCTTATTATGGTTACAGCAAACTACTAAAATTTAAATTCTGATGTACAAAAAAGTAATAATTTTTAAAGAAAATTGTTTCCTCTTTATAGCTGCAGTAAATTTCTGGATTTCTTTCCTTTTAATATTGTTTTTACAGTAAATTACAGGATCAAAGTAGTAAAATATAAATTTTCAAATATTTTTGTTAATTTAGATGAGGGGAAAAAATTAAACTAGTTCAGCAACTTTAAAGAGTAGAAAAAAATTAATTTTTAAATTTAAAATATTCAAACTTTTATATGACTGAACTTTGAGGCAATTAATTTAATGGTCATGATTTTGGCATTTTAAAATCTTACCATGGACATCAATTACAATTAATGCTCCCAATGTTAATCTTTTATTTGGTTCAAGTTTTCCTCTCACAAGAGCAACAATATCGTCAATTTGTTGATTGCACTGCTGCCAGTATTTCTAGAAATGAAAAACATATTTTCATTACAATTTTTTTAAAAAGGATAATAGAGAAAATACTTAGTTTATTTTACATGCTAATTTTTAGCAAAATATTTATTAAATGAATATTTTCTCGTTTATTAATAACAGGCAATAAATACTTCAACAATTATGAGAATAAAAGATTAATTTTAAATGAAGACATAACATGAATAGTTTCTTCTATAATGAAAAGTTGCACACTTACCACAATAGTATTATTTTCCAATGCTTCTGCAACTTCTGCTGTCCAGAAAACAGAGCAAACACAAATTACCACTTGTCCTGGCCATTTCAACACATATTCAGTTCTAGGTAGTTCTGGGTAAGAAGCTAGTGATTTTCCAATCACATCTTTTAAGCTAAGAACCATACTCACTTCCACTTCAGCTAACCATTTTTCGACCATGCCCTATAAACATGTAAAATATGAAATAAGATACTAAGTGCAAAATGTTAACCAACAATATACATACTGAATAAAAATTTATTTGTGAATATTTAACTTAATACCAAAAACTTAACTACCTGTGTGAAATTTTTAGTAATTAAAAGCATAAATTGTAGTCTATGCATTTCAAAGTTTTGAAGGTATGAAAAAAACAAGAAGAAACATTAATACTTCAGTAAATGCTGTAGGTATAAACACTCCCCCAACCACAGAAAAAAAAAAAATTAAAATTTGGATTGAACATATTATCACACTTAGACATTACTACTTCTGTTTTTACATCTAATGTATTATATATAAACAAAATGTGATATTCCATTTTCAGTTTTTTCAGAAATCATAAAAACAAGTACATTGACTTGAATAACAACATACATTTAGTTTAATTTACAAACATAAATTAGAGTTATTTCATTTGAATATAACTAAGGCACAAGCAAGCTGAAATGCCAGTAACATTTTAAACAACTTGAATTATTTTAATTACTTTTGCAGCAGCAGGAACTATTTTTTTGGATAAAGGTACTACTTCTTTCTCAGCAGATATCATGCCAATAATTTCATTATCTTTTGTAAACTCCAATCTCGCTATACCCTCAAAGCACTTTTTAAGGTGAGGTTGAACTCTATGAGGATCTTTAGTTTCAGACAAGATTTCCAGAAGTTCATCATTTGATAAAAAGAAGAACCTGCAATAAATAAAAAATTCATATATGAAAAACAAATACTTGTAACAAAAGCTTTAAATACATTAATCCTATAAAAGGAATGATATTACAAATTTTTAACCCAAAATACTTAAGAATAAAATAATGAACCTTTTTGGTTTTAAATAAGAAAGTTGTGTTATTGTAAGTTTTTATAATTCTAAGAATTTAAGTATAAAGTTGCTCTTTTGAATCAACACATGAAACCATAATGTCAGTAAATTAGTTTTACAATTGCATATTCAAAAATAGAAATGATAACATTTTATCCTACTTATGAATATGAGAAACTTAGAACTAAATTACAAAGTCTACATAATACAGTACATAAATCTGCTAACAACAAAGCAGTTAGCTTTCTTCAGTGAAATAAAATTATTTCATAAATTTCTCAGATAAGATTCTGTTCTTGTCTGTTAAAATTATAATACAATACAGTTTTAGTTTTGATATAATTGTTCTTTTAAAATATAAGACAGCTTGTAAGGTCATTAGGTATTTTTGATGTGGGAGACGTGAAAAAATGAGCAATGCCCTCATCGGGACTTGAACCTTGACCTCTTGAATACGCACTGAGTGTGCTACTGTTACGCCATGAAGGCAAGCAGAAAATACCTACCTTATAAGCTCACATAAGATTAATTTAACAATTTTATACTTATTTCCTACTTTAATTCCATTTTCTATGTATTTCCTAATAATTATAAAGAAAATTAGAGTCAGAACTATATAGCATACCTAGGAAAATACAATCTTTTCTTTTCCAGATAATCATTCAGGCCCTTTTGTATCTCATCTAGAAGAACATTACATTTTTGCAAAGTCTGTAACATATTTGGATGAGAAGTAGCCACTAGTACATGAGGATCAGCAGCCTTAAATTAAAATTTAAGAAGTCATCAGTTTATTGTAAAGTTAATAATAAATGTGAACACGATGTAAATAACATTGTGGTCCATTTATAAGTTCAATTAAATATTCTTTCTGAATATTAATATTCTTATCATCATTGACAAGACCATTCTGATGAGTACATGAGAATCAGTAGTCTTAAATTAAAATGTAAGAAGTCATTAGTTTATTGTAAGTTATTAATAAAAATGTGAACAAGATATAAATAGCATTCTGGTCCATTTATAAGTTAAATTAAATATTCTTTCCGAATATTAATATTCTTTTCATCATTAAAAATATTATTTTGAAAGCTGTAGATTGAAGCACTTACTATTTTTGTAATATACTTGCATAAAAATTACATTTGAATTTTTAAATAATCCAGTATAACTGTACTTATAATAATATGCCATCTTACATTTAATTATTGAACATACTTGAAAACATGTCTTAAATGGTACTTATTTTAAATGAGATATTCAGTTTTTTATTTCAGAGCAAAAGGCAAACTATGTTATTAAAACAAAACACTGACAAAAAATTAAATTTTCTATATATTCAATGCATTTTAAGGATATGTATATATTATATATTTCTTACAGGGTATTAATTTGCTGATATTACTATGAATACAATTTCCACGTGTACTGTTCAATATAATCAATTTATTTGTCATACAGAAGGATGTGTATAAAGCAGGTATAAATTGCTTTATACACACCCTTCTGTATCTGTAAGTATACACTGTACTTCTATAAGTATTACACTGTAAATATTCTATGAATTTTGAAGCAAAAATTACCAGTAAAAGTGAAGAAAATAAAGAAGAAAAACACATAGATAATTAAGACAAAGTTGCAAAATCTTCCTTACTAGTAAAAAAATAAGTATAAAAACAACCAGTTCTAGTTCTTGATATAGTTCTCGGTAATTTCAGAAGATACTAGCTTTGAATTGAGCAATGTAAGCAGTCTGTATGAGAAGTTTCTTGTTTAAAACCTCAAGGATTACAAAACAGATATTTAGCCCTTAATTATCTGAGCAATTTCTAGATGATGTGCATGTGAGAGAATTTTCAGTACATGTGCAAGTCTTATATCAAATTTAACATTTATTGGATCCATGATTGAATAAGGTACTGGAGCGGGTGCAGGAATCTATTGTAACCATTTTGCATTCTATAAGGCACCTGGAAGAGATACTACCAATTCTGATATTGAAATTGAAACTATACTTATTACTCTGAATCAATTAAGCATGCAGAAGAGTTATTTCACTCAGGCTGTTATTTTGTCCGCCAGCAAAGCCGCTTTGCAGGCTATCTCCAATAATAAATTTTGCACTTCCAAATGAATTTATGAATGTAAGAAGATTCTTAACACTCTGGCTGACTCAACTGTATTGCAATGGATTCCTGCTCATTGTGGCATCGAGGGAAATTAAACAACCGATTTCTTGGCAAAGAAAGGAACAACTATTCTACAAACCACAAATAACTACATGACTTTCCATTATGTAAAACTCTTAATTAAATTAGAATTTAAGAGGAGGTTTGGATTTATAAATTTCATATAAAACTTTAACATAAACACAACGGTCCTGGAACAGTTTTTATACAAAGCCATTATCGATTTTGAAGTGGGCTTTGAACTATTAATTTATGAATAATTACAAATATAAATGCACTAAAAATATGACATAAAAGTAATTTAAAAACTTGACGTGAAAAATGTATTGTATTATAATTTGTGAAAAATGTATTGTATTATATTTGAATTGCTCATTTACTCTCATATCAAGATGATATAAAAGTAATTTAAAACATACAGCTTTAACAGCAATCTCTCTCCAGCTTTTATCCACAGTTGTGAATTTTCTTCCTTCAACAGGCATTTGTTGCATGATATCTTCAGAGCTGAATATGGGCTCCAGATAAAGCCATGTAGCTTGGCACTGAAATGGATAAGGATTATGCAATTGAAATTGTGTTAAAATTACAGTAATTAGTGACTCATTGTTTTAAGAAAAGAATTAAAGGCATTAAAGCCATATATTTTTATGAAATCCTTCAGTCTTTATTATTTATAACAAACAAAAATAAACATAATAAATTACTTTCAGCCATGAATCGAGAACATCTTGCACTAAAAGTAGTTGCTCTTCCCACAATTTTATTTCATCTTCAAAAGGCTTTATAAAAGGATTTGCTCTCATCGTCTGAACTCTAAGAATATGGTCATCCAGCAAAACTTGAATATCATCAACAGCAGATAAAATAGGCACACCCTTTATATCAATAATGAACATGCTTATTAATATACTTTTGATTTTTTTATTAAATGCAAAAGGCTCTGAAATTTCTGATAAAAAGTGATCATTTATGTACTTCATTCATACTACAAACAATAAATTTAAATAATACAGTTATATAAATAAATCAATCATTTTCAATGTGATACAAAAAACAAAAAAAATTTTTTTAATCATAAAATATTTATATCAATCTGAGCTAAAACTTAAATACTGAGCATTTAAATAAGAATATATAAATGATACACCAAACTCCTGATTATTGATTTTAAGGGTTATCTGGAGATCATTCCCCTGAAAAATTTTCAGACTAGTATTGCAAAAAGGCAAACCATTCTTGGAAAAAACTCATAATTTTTGATGTAGTGATAAACTCATAATTTTTGATGTAGTGAAACCAAGGAAAAAGTTAAAAGTAGACTGCTAATTCATTAGTGATTGAAATTTGATTCCACAGAGTGTAAAATACAAAAGCTCTGCCAATGAAAAGATAACAGTATCAGGCCTTACTGAAATTACTTAAGAAGCTCAAACATTTGAAAATGTAATGAAAAGAAATCCATAAAACAAAAGCAAAGTCCACAGGATTTTATCAGCGTGATAGGACACTTGCATACATGGTTGCATACACTTGCATACAAAGTGGGATTTGTATATATCATATCATCCCTAGAAGAACATGAAATTTTCTAACAGGCGTAACCAGTTATGGACAAGTGACACTTTTGTACAGCCTGTCAGAAACAATCATGCCCTATGATTTATTGATACAATTTTTCATAAGTAGTGCCCATTCATGTTCATAAGTAGTAATGTTTTGAATGTTTCTTATGCATTATTAGTTTTCTCCCGAGTTCCTTTTAGGAAATTTACATAAAATGAGTTTCACCCATACTGAAACAGCTAAAGGCAACCATGCATAGTCTATAAACACCATCGGCATTGGCAGTTTCATGTTAATACAGATTTTAAAGTGACAGTGTGAAGGTATATTAAAAGCAAAATTGAAAGATACAAAGGGTGGATAATGACACAAAACAAATTAGTTTTAAAATATACAGAACATATCTCCCAGTCTGACGTCATTGTGGCAGAAATTAAAGTTCAGTTGTCACAGCATATAAATGAGCAAAAGAAGATCGCTTGATAGCAAAATTTTTTAACAATGAAATCAATGAACTATTAGTCAAAGGTTATGACTTTGTAATTAAAATACTATAACCTCATAGTTTCAAATGATCTCTTTATAGAATACGGAGGAAAGCTAAAAGTTCCAAGTTGGAACCATATAACAATAATGATTTTCTATCTTTCTTTCGTATAATAGCAAAGACTGACATTTTATTTTTAGCATTGAAAAGGAAAGACGGGTTTTGAAACATCTCACAAATGTTTTCATGGATGGAACATTCAGAAACATTTGCAGCCATTTTTCTCATTTGCATTCCTTGCAAGCAGATTTGGGAAGTTCATTGCATGAACACAAAGTGGTGGTTGCAGTATATGCTCTGATGCCCTGTAGAAAGAAGGTACTTCTTTATAAAATGTTTCAAGTATTAAAGGAAGATGCTGGGTGGAATTCGAAACACATTATGATGGATTTTGAGCAAGCAGTAATTAATGCCATAAGATGTTTATCTCCCAATACAACCATCAAAGGATGCAATTACAATTTTACACAAATTCTTCGGTAATGCAGCCAAAATATTAAAATGGTAAATCTATATCAAGAGAAAACGAAATTTGATTAAGAACATAAGCAGCATTAGCACATTTTTCTCAACAATTTCTTGATGAAGACTGGTTAGTAATAGAAGAAAATTGTCTTCAGGAACCTAAGTTAAGAGAACTTACGAATGAATGATTATTTGAATACCTAAGTAAATTTAATTATTATTTTCATTAAAAATACACTGTATGCAGTACATTTAAACTTTTCAAGAGTCCTTTTTTTATTGTACATGATTTCTATTAGTGGTAAGTATTCTACATGATTTATTCTATGTTCATGAAAATAACCATTTCGGAGAAAGACTACTGTATACTAATCTGGAAAACTATATGATATCATGTTAGAAAATGACAATTACAGAAGACATAAATGAATTTAGCTGTCTTCAGATTTTAAATGGTCATGAATTTTGTTAAACAAGGATTATTTAAATTTCATATACAGATTTATGAACAATTTACAAATCAAAATTAATTTTGTTAACTAATCAGATTAAATAGTTAAAAAGCAGTTAGTAGAAGTTATTTTGGAGTTAGAAACAAATCAAAGCAGTATTCAGTAAGCACTATATGAAATTTAATAAAATATACTTGATTTCATTCCTACCAGGTCTATTTAGAAATTAAAAATGATTTGGTAAAAGTTATAATAGTATTTAATAAGAAAATATGATGGTTATCTTCATATTCAAGAAGTTATTGATATTTTTAAAATTTGTTAGGTTTAAATGAAGCATACAGTTTTACAGATAACCGGAAGCAAAATTAAGGACGAGACTTTTTTTCAATATAACTTTGTACAAAAGCTTTCCAAATCAACACATTTAATACCGTAAGATCCCCATTACGTAAGGACAGGAGTAATGTAAGCAACACTTACTAAAAGAGAAATCAGAGGGATAAAAAGAAGCTTTATTGAAAAAGTAGCATGGAGCGCAATGCGACTGAAGGCCGAAACATCCCTGTCCAGCAAGAAAAACATCCGGTCTTTAATAGGGGATATGATCTCCTCTGACTGCTAGGCAGGTTTCACAGGCGTCTGCCCATGCTGAGAATGAGGGTGTCAATGAGTTGTTGAGGCATTGCTGCCCATTCGTCTTGCAGCGCGAATCGAAGCTCCTGGAATCGTTACTGGTGGTAAGGTACGAGCTGCCAAGCGTCTGCCTAGAAAATCCCATACATGCTCGATGGGATTGAGATCCGGAGATCGTGCCGGCCAATCCATACGTTCAATATCCTCACTCTCTAAGAGCTGTTCGGCAGCTACTGTGCGATGACATGGTGCATTGTCGTCCATGAAAAGGAACTGCGGACCCATAGCGCCTCTAAAAAGACGCACATATGGAAGAAGAATCTCGTTGCAATAACGGGTCCCGTTGACTGAACCTGCGTCGAAGATGTGAAGGTCTGTACGACTACCAAGCATGATGCCTCCCGAAACGAGAACACCGCCACCTCCATACCTGTCCCTTTCAATGATGTTCGAGGGATGATTGCGGCTTCCCCGCTCTCTCCAGATGAGTATGCGATGAGAATCGCTACTCAGACTGAATCTGCTCTCATCTGTAAAGAGTACTCGTCCCCATTCATTGTCTCTCCAATTCCGGTGTTCCCGGCACCACAGAGAACGAACGCCTTCTCCGATGGGCAGGCGTTAGAGGTACACAGGGCGTCGTGCAAACAGACCACCACCGTGCAGTCTTCTGGCCACGGTAAAACGCGATATCGGTCGTCCAGTCGCCTGTGTCGTGTGTCTAGCGATTTCTCCCGCTGTCTGCCGCCTGTTTCTTCTGGCCTGTAAGGCAATATACCGGTCATCTGCGGGTGTGGTTCCTCGTGGACGACCACTACTAAACCCCCGGATAGCTGTTCCTGTAGTTTGAAATTGTCTCCAAAGTCGTGAAACGATGCTGTGAGCAATTCCGAAATCTGCAGCCACACTTGTCACACTGCGGCCTTCCTCCAACTTCCCAATGATTCGACCTCGGGTTAAAAAAAGCATCCAGATGTCGTCTAACAGATTGATTATTCACCATTTCTCGCTGAGGCAGCAACTCGGTGTGATTTTAACTGCTATACGGCGTGCAATCTCTTTGCCAGAAATACTGATCTTACACCGACAACATGCTTTATACTACTCAGACACTCCCCCATTACGTCTACCTGCATATCTGCGCATGTGCTATCGTACATCACCTTACTTAATCTTACTTAATCTCCTGATTGGTCTTTCTGCCTCTTCGTTCAGCTGATATGCTAATTTTTCAACTTCGTCCTTAATTTTTGCACACCAGTATATATATATTCTATCAAATCCAGGAAACAATTGTGAACTTTTGTTATGCCATGCATGTGCTTAGATGAGGTTTTAATTCATAAAAAAATTCTGAATGTAAATATTTTTAATAGAATTTTCAGGTGGATAGATAATTAAAATAAATAAATCAAAAGAAAGTGGCAATCTTACTAACAGGAAAAATATTTATTATAAATAAAACAATCTCATCAAAAATAACTATCTATTATTTAATTAAGTAATAGATAATTTTATTTATTAATTAATAATAAATAATTTATTAATTAATTTGCAGCACTGTGCAACTTTAAAAAATTATAATTTAAATTTTGCAATTATTAAAACTTTGATTATTAATATATATCTTTTGAATTTATCAAAGCAGAGAATTTAGACAATTATTAGCATTTTAAGCATAATAACAAAAGATTATGATATTGAAAGGTTCCATGACGCATTTCAACACTTGGCCACGGTAATTAATTTAGTCTGTTAAGCAATCGCCTTGATCTTCAAGCGTACCAGTGATACATATGATAAATCTCACTGAAATCATAAATAGAATACAAACTTGCATCATTGATAAAAGAGTGAGTTTCCAAACCCTAAAATACATATTCATAAAAACGAATATGTTAAGCCTTTCATGGATACTTTATCATTAGATTTGATTATAATGAGCTTCCAAGTGGCTGAAAGTTTTGCTCATAGTAAGCGTTACTCTTTATACCACTGGTCTAAGATTATGGATAAGAGCAGTCAGAATATCATATCTAATTTTTATGAGTTTGGAGAGCATAAATTAATATATCTGCAGTGGATACTGTCCCATGTTGGGGTGTATGGTAATGAAATAGTTGATGATCTTGCAGGGAAAGGTTGTGATCCCCCTTACCCCCATTTGCGCTGATTTAAGCCCAACTGAAATACACTCCCACTACAAAAATAAAATGAACATGGTGTGGAAAATTTCTTCTGCTCATCATGGGTATATCGTAGTATATCGCTGAGCAACCAGGCATGTCACTTCAATATAAAAGAACTAGATGTTTCCAAACAGCCATGGCCAGATTGAGGAGCAGGCAACTTCGATGCATGAAATTCACCGGGGGGCGGGGACCTTCTCCTCATGTGCCTGTCCCTCCCACTCACCTACTCGACTGTATAGCCATCTCCCTGAGACAGCTGTTGGCTGAGCAGGATGAAGTCAGTGATTTACTTGTGTGGCAAGGTTTCTAGGACTTGGTGTAAGCTTTCCTGCCCCAAGGGGATTAGAAATGACAACTCTTTATTCCTACTAAGGGTTAAAGCTCTTTGAGTTAAAATAAATACATAAATTAAAATTATTATAGTTTTTATGTTTATTATTGGACTGAAAATATCATTTTTATGTTCATTACAGAAATCCATTATTATACAGGATATATAGTTCAGAAGTCAAACAACAAAAATCAGCGTTATACCTACAAAATTTTCACAGGACTAGTTTCGATGGTTTTACCGAACCATCATCTTCAGCTGCAAAACCGCAAATGAACAAGATAGGAAATAATGATTAGATAAGATAAGAAAGCCTGGACAAGAATAAGCAAGTGGCGCCATCTGTTGGCGAAAACCAGAACTAAATAAAACATAATTCTCTAAAAGCCAAGGCAAATTGGATTGGAATTAGGATCGTTAACTAGAACAGAAAGATTTTTATGAATGTGAAATGCCTCTAGAAAATCTAGTTCTCCAATGGAAGATGTTTTTTGAATAATTTGGCAGCAGAAAAATTGAAAGTGTGATTTTCGGACCAACAATGTTGAGCAACAGAAGACTTCTGTGTTTCCTTTTTTCTAACATATGCCTCATGTTCCTTGACGCGAAATTTTAAGGCTCTCTTAGTTTGGCCAATGTAAATTAAACCACACTGGCAAGGAATCCTATAAATACCCCAGGAATTCATATCCGGAATGGGGTCTTTGAGTATAGAAGTTGGAATTTTATTGATGGGAGAATAAACAACCCGAAAGTTAAATTTCTGCAAAATATTTAATAAATAAAAAAGAAGATGATGGTTCGGTAAAACCATCGAAACTAGTCCTGTGAAAATTTTGTAGGTATAACGCTGATTTTTGTTGTTTGACTTCTGAATTAGTATTTATTCGGCGTGTTATTGTGTCTTAGGGTATATAGTGTCGTCAATTTTTCAAGAGAGATAGGGTACACCAAGACGATGGCAAATCACATAGGAATGCATGGTCAAAAATGCTTTCCTAAGGCGGTAGTGATGACACAAAAGTCAAGAAAGAAAGGACACGAACTGGGTAACAAAACATGTTTATTATTTGGAGTACAACAAAAACAAGGGAAAAAAACATAAAGAGACAACAATCATCATCAAAGAAGGTGTTCAAAATTATGATCCGGACTGTGATGCAGGAACTGTGTGTCATGAATCTTCCATTCGTGATGCAGATCTTCTGTGCGCCAGAGAAGTGAGGTCTGCATCATGGTCCAGGGTCGTTATTTCGAACACCTTCTTTAATGATGACTGTTGCTTGTTTTTGTTCTTAAAACATAATAAAACATGTTTTGTCTCACTGTTTGTGTCCTCTCTTTCTTGATTTTTGTGTTGTCACTACCACCCCAGGAAAGCATTTCCAACCATGCATTCCTATGTGATTTCCCATCATCTAGGTGCACTCTATCTCTCCTGAAAGTTTCTAAATGCTGTATTGACACACCCTGTAGAATTTGACTGTATTTAGAAGTCAGAAACTTGAGCTGTAAAGTTGAAAATCCTTTTTTTAATGAGTTATCGATGTCATAATTTTTATTACTATTTATGTAACACAGAATTCTCAAAATGTTAACTCTCCTTATGCATATATATTTTTTTTTCAAATAAAAATCTTACCTAAGTTGCATTTTTAAATTAAAATTTTTTTCAGTTTTTTAATATGTAAAAGAGTAAAGCAATTTATCTTACAATAAAATTTCTTGAAACATAGTTAGAACAGTTTTGTAGTTTAATTTAATATACGAAACTTCCAAACATTTAAGAAATGTTCAGTTTTCCTTTGCATTCAATAATTACTAATCAGACACTAAATGACTATTACTATATGGTAAATTTTTTATACAATGAAAGCAAATAAATGGAAGCTGAAATCAGCATTTGTATTTGTAGATTAGCTCATTTAATTATAAAATATTTCAGTAATTATATACATATGTATATTACATGATGTATATAAATTTCAACTTTTGATTTTATTTATTATTCTGGAATGATTTTATGAGTCACATAATACAAACTGCATTACAAAAGCACATATTTTCAAAATTTGGAAGAAACCTGTTGTATTTTGAAACATAATAAATAAATAAATAAATAAAAAATAAATAAATAAAAGTACTCACAGTCTCTCGATATGGCTTGAATTCAAATTCAATATCCTTCCACTCTTCTTTCATTTTAGCCATATTTTTCTCTAAAGTAAATTCTTTGGACACTGTTGTTGACAGTTCTTCTACTCTAAATATATTGGAGAAATTACATTGATGATGGTGATAATAATAATAAAGTGCAAAATTATGTCAAATAAAATAAATAGCAAACTTTCATCAATTAGAAAAGTATTAATTGGACAGATATTCACAACATCCACAGTATCAAACCGCAATGATAAATTCTAAATATGTCACAAGCAAAGAGAGGGGGGGGTCCAGGCTGAAAAAAATTTATGTAACATATTAGATTTACTTTTTCTTTTATAACTTCTTGAATATGCATATAACTAAGCATTAACAATATCCCTCTAAAATTAATATATATATAAAATGGTGGATTCATGCATGTGCATATATGTAAGATAAAAAACAAGAAACTCAGAATTACTCATTTTATTTTGAGTACTTCCCTTCCCTACTCTAAAAAGAGTACTAACATTTTCTAAATTGCGTTGTTGAAAGACTAACCACATTATATCATTCGCAAAGCAAAAGCTCTTGTTCAGTCATTGCTCAAAATGAAAACAAAGGATTCGACACTTATATACACTAATGTTTGTGAAAAATGCAGCACCATGGAGGAATTGTCAGAAATGAATGAAATTTATTCCTCATATTATTGATAGTGGTACAAATTAACGATCAAATTTACAAGATAAAAAACAAAATGAACATCGAAATCAGTACTTTGTGTGTCTGCCATGGTGAGCGATGAGAGCCTGTACACATCATGGCATTGAATCATATATGTTCTGGATGTAATCCTGGAGAATGGCATTCCACATGGCTTCAGCATGAATCCAGAGTTCAGTCTTAGTAGGTGTCCCACCAGCTGTACGAGTGAGTCACCTACCGATGAAATTCCAGACATGCACAGTGGGTGACACATTCGAGGAATAAAAAGGCCATGGAAGAAGCGAAACCTGTTGTGCTCTAAAGAAGGCTTGCGAAGTGTGAGAAACATGTTTACTGGCATTATCCTACTGAAATATGGAGCCCAGAATGCATTGGAACTCTGGCTCCCCAACTTCTCTTATTTAGCAATCATTGCTGAGGTTGCGCACAGTCTGCACTAGATGGGATTGACAATTGTACCCAATAGTTCCCAAACCATGATGCCAGGCGTTTGTGTGGTATGATGTTAGATAACACACTGTGGGAGCAGATGTTCTGCTCTGTGATGTCTGACATGTACTCTTTCACGACTGTATTCCAGATCATAGCAAGATTCATTGCAGAAAACAACTTGTTGCCACAGGGCATGCCATGCACTGTGTTGCTATGCCCATTGAAGTCAGAAGCGTCTGTGATTCAGTGACAGGTGAATCTTGTGTAGAGGAACCCTTGCACACAGTTCATGCTGCAGCAGATGATGATGAACTATGGAGCTAGACAACATAACACCTGTAGCTGAGCTCCAACGTTATGCTGTAAGATCTGTCACAGCCATGCGGATAAGGTATCTATTATACCGTGTCATTGTGCTATTGAAGGCCCCACTGACAGGATTTTGCCTTGCTTGGTTCTCCTTCATTCAGTTCTTCCAAACATGCATAACTGGTGCAGCATTACGCTGCATGCAGGCTGCGATTGCTTGATACAAAAGTCCACTATCTCATATATTAATGATGCAACCTCATTCGAACTCTGTTAGTTGTTGGTATGGCACCCTTCGCTGTTGACAAGGCATACTGACCACTAATTAACTGTTCACTGCAGACAGATGATGATAAAACAGTCCTTTATATACATGGGACAAGAGGCCAGTTCTGATTCCATGTATGTGCAATCGCTTTGAAAGCCTTATCTCACTTTACATTTCCTGCAAGTTTGATTAAATGTGCATAATTCCTTCATGGTATTGCAGTTTTTCACAAATATTAGTTTAAATATGCTTTGCTAAATCTGAACACACTTTTCCAATTTCTCTAGCTTAGCTAGTGCATAATGAACTACTTTGTTGTTTCATCTATTGTCTTGCAAAGTGAATTAGTTGTATATAAATTGTGTTGTGTTTATGGCTGCCATAACGTTACATAAATCAAGAAGATATGTCTTCAGAAAATATTCATCAAGAAATAAAGTTATGTGATGAAAATTCAGTTATTTTTTGTGTCCAAAATTCGATCCATTAACTCTGCAAAAGCCACATCTATCACAATCCCAGCCATCACTAAAAAGATTACTGGGAGCCTTCTTTACTAGCAAAAAAATATCACACACACACATATATATAGGTTTCTCTTGTTCATGTACTACTTTCTACTTTTATATATATATATATGTACAGTTTAGAACTTTTTCTGTAAATGCTCTACTGACATGAAAATTTGTCTTCAATACATTTAATATTACGTTTGCTAAATAAATTATAGCACATATGAAATATTCAAATTGCAAATTTAGTAATGTCTTTCATTTACTGTGAGAATAAAATGATTGTGGGTTCTTATTTTTGTATACATTATCCTCAATAATGTTTCACACTCTTTTGAATCATAATAAATGATCTGTATCTGCTACATATAAATTTCATGTAAATATGAAATCATGTACATAAAAGTATCCAAGAAATATATTATCCAAAATTTTTATGTGGTCAAAACCAAAAAATTCTTTCCTGTCAAACAAAATTTTCATATCTTCCATACTAAACTATAATACTAAGCAGTCAGTGGAAGTGACATTATATATTTAAATAAATGATAACAGTAATTATGTAAAAAGAACAAATATATAGAGAAAATTAGAGAAAACTAGCCCACATTAAAATAATTATTCTCTTGTTAGGCTAAACAGTTATAAATAAATCTGAGTCTCTTCCTTTTAATTTTGACTGAGAGTTTTCAGACTAAATTAAAGAACTAAGACTTGCTTTCAAATTTTATAATTGACAAGATTTTATATTTTTATTCCTAAAGTAATTCTTAAGCAAAAATATTTAGTTTTACTTAGGTAAAACTGAATATATATGTAATTGAAGTTACATTACATTTATCCTTTTCAAAAAGAAAAGTATTTTAAAAAATACTTAATTTTTTAATACATTTTAGTGCATTATACAAGCACTTCTTAAACCCATCAATTAACTTTAATCATGAAAAAAAAAAAAAAAAAAAAAAAAAAAAAGAAAGAAAGAAAAGAAAGAAAGAAAGAAAGAAGAGTGATATTTACTATAGATAATAATTACATTCCAATGTTTTTAAGAAGGCCGCCCAGACAGTACAGTCGTTAGGGGAGTCTGACTGCGATACCAAAGGGCCCGGGTTCGAATCCCGCATGGAAAGCATGGATGTAAAATTGTCTGTCCCTTCATGGGAGGCAAAGGTGGCCCACCTATTAGGTGTCTGCACAATAAAGAGACCACCATATCTGGTCTTAGGAGTGGCCAATGCTGGCATAGGCAAGCACCCGCCATTTGGAAAAAAAAAAGTGTTTTTAACAAAAGCCAAATGGAGGGAAAAGATCTCCATACTTCTTCACATAGAAATATATGACAGATTCATTTGCAGTTTCACTAATAATAATTGATTATTTGCATTTTTTAGATATTCATTTTATTCATTACAGATGTAATTAATTTCTTAAAGTTTATATACAGTTAATATAACAAATTAAAACATAATGATGAGAAAGTTATTAAATAATTTCTTTTGCAAAAATTTGAAATTTAGAAATTGAATTTAACTGCTTTAGGGCTAACTACATAACCACTTCACTGATAAAATGAAAAAATAATTACTTTTCAATATGACGATTCAACCCAACTCTTATCATATCTTCTAATGTTGCTTTAGGGCCAGGTAAAATTTTAAAACCCAAAAACTTGCTTGCCTGAAAATATAAGATTTAGATTAGTTTTAATAATTAGATATATCTATACTGCATAAAAGGATGGAGCAAAAAAGATGAAAGTTGTATAACTGAAAGACACTATTCTTGAAAATTTGCATAATAACCAGTATATTAATCATAAATTTTTTACAAATTTTTTCTGTTTTATTTTCTTTTCATGAAAGAGTTTTGAAATTTTGTAATTGCACGGTAAAAACTACGAAATTTCTGAAAACTGTCAGATAAAAACGAACTACTCCTCAAAACTTGTATATTGAACAATATATCACTTATGACACATTTCATAATTTTTCTAACTTTATCTTTAATCCCTGCAAGAGTCTTGGAATTTTTACATTAAATTAGCCCACTACAATAATATATTTTGGCATGTTATTTTTCAGAGTGACACTGTAGATGTGCAGAAGTATGCTTTTAACTAAACATGCAGCTGCCCATGAGACAATGTTAAATTAGCAGTGAAACAAATGCATGTGTGATATGGGCCTTAGACTCCATTATTAGCAGTCCAAGGCCCATATCACACATGCATTTGTTTCAGATGAACAACTATTTTGGACAATTTTTCTGCCTGGTTTACTATTGAAAGAAAGACAAGCGATTTTTCCTTCCTTTCGAAAAAAATTGCAAGTTGTTCATTTTCAACCAATCAGCTATCAGCTTGTTTGTAATGGAGAATCAATTTTCCCTGTGTTACCCCCAAAGTGATCTGAAATGACTGGCTGTAGTGATAAAGTAGAAAAATTGTTCCAAACAGTTGTTCTTCTGAAACAAACGGATGTGTGATAGCAGCCTAAGAGACCTTAGGTGTAATGTACTGCCTGTGCAAGAAGATGTGTTGTAACTGAACTGGGCTACAGAAGGCCAATTCTGAACAGTGCAAAACAAAAGACATTAAAGTTTATGAAGAGATTGCTGTCAAATTCAAAGAAATTTGGGGAAGGGCTTCAGTTCCAGCTTTACATCATGCAAGAATAACTGCCTTAATAAAGAGAAAGTATGAGAAGAAACGGAATCCTTTAAAATCATAAAGGAAGCAGAAGGAAAAGCCAAATTTAAAGCTAATAACGAAGCTTTCAGGAAGGAAGCACAAACCCTATTTGACACTGCTACATGCAAACCCACTGACTATATCCCACTCTAAGGCCAGAAAAGAAATAGGACTATTTGTTGCCAACTTCAACTGCACCCCAAACCAGAATCAAGCTAGAAGAATGTAACAAACCTTTGCTACCTTTGCTAGAAGAATGTAACAAATATGGCATTCCTGACAGGCCTGCTGCCATTCTTGTATCTGCATGACTAAGCAATTTACAGAATGCGAGCATACAGAACGTAGCGGAAGGTGAAGAAGTTAAGAAATATGGTAATTTACCGATCATCACAGACAGATGTAAAGCACAAAGGAAATGAAAAAAAAAGTGGTATGAAATCTGTAGAACCAAGAAGCCGGAGAAGAAATCAAGCTTTGAGCTCTGTACTTAGATAACAGAAAGGACAAGACATTCTGATGGAGGAGATGAAAGATGGCTATTTCCATTACAGTTCTGCAGTGGAAGAAATATATTGATGATTCTAGAACCAAGCAGTGTGTACCTTGGGCACATTTCCCCATTAACACAACTTGGATGTGATGGGACTGCAGTGAGTACAGGACATTCAAGTGTTATTTGCTTATTAGAAAAAGCCTTTTTAAGATATTTGCAGTGGGTGATAAATTATGAAAGTACATATTCCAGTGTGGTTTAACATTAAATGCAACTGAACAATGAAAGATGCTTCCAATAACCTATGACTAACATATTCTTTTGTTCTCTTGTGAAAATATGAAGTGATCTCATGTCTCTTGTAATAATTCATGGATGGTTTCATTCAGCTAAATAATTATACTGCACATCTGGAGAATTTGCTGGTGGACATGCTTGCAGATAAGCAGAAACACATTCAAGAGTTAGGCGTGAGAAGAATTATTTCTGAGAGATTACGGTCAAAGGAGCTATGCCTCTAGTACACAAAGCCAAGAATTTGGCAATCAACATCAATGCAATGCATTGCATTGACCTCATCGAGTAGCAGCATTTTGAAGGTACAAAAGCACCATTTACATCCCATCTATTGAGCGAAGATTTGAAGCAGTGCATCAAGGAAAGCTTCCCACTTCTTCTATACACTCTCTACTTCTGCATTTACAACTGCCATACCCACACAGTTGACAGGTGTGTTTAAATTGCTATGGAGATTTCTGGACAAGTATGCGAGGTTATCGCTCAAGATGAAGTAATCAGAAGATAAATTCTGAGCAGGTAATTCCTCTCCCCTTTCAAAAATAAGTCCAAATTCACACTGTGAAGTAACTGATGAAGTAAAGACTAAGGACACAGTGCCCAAAGTTAGGGTGGTTAGGATGGGCATATGTGGAGCTCGCTATGCAACCTTTTGTTGAATTCTTGGTGGTTCACTTAACCAGCAAAGAACGTTATTTTATAAAGTAAGTACTGTAATAGTAATGTTAATCTTTTCAAAAAAGCTAGATTTATTGAAAATTTTCAATTATGCCATACCACTACAAAATTTCTTGCAGGGAATAAAGATGAAGTACAATTGACAAGTGAAAAAATTCACGAGTGATATATTAGTAAATACACAATTTTTGAGGGGACTTCTTCCTTTTCATCTGACAATTTTTAAAAATTTTGTTTATGTTTCAAGCCTCTTGTGGGGAATTAACATAGATAATTTTTTAATTGAATAAATTCCTGTGTAATTAATTAGTCAATACAAAATTTTCAAGGCGTAGTCATTCTCCTCCAACAATCTTTCAAAACTTCGTGGTTTTTTACTCCACCCTACTGCATATTACGTAGCTGCATAAAAAATTAACAGAACACATGTAAAAAAAGTAAGTAATTCATTATTCACCACAGAACAATCATTAAACTAAAGGAAAGAAAAATTTGGATAAATTGCTCTGACTGCTTGATTCAACCAAAATTTGCAAACTTACAAGAAATAAATCCAAGCCCTTCAAAGGAGTCTTTTTCTGCATTTGTGTATAGATTTCAGTGCTTCTATCATATGATGCTCTTTGGAAGTTCTTTATATGAAAGCCATTTAGCATCATCTGTGATCTAATATTTTCTCTCTGAGCCAAAATAATGACACTTCATTTTGTATTTCAGCCTTATAAACAATTTTTAAAAATGACTTGGGTTGTAAAATCTAATAAGGAGGAGGATGAGCGAGCATAAGTTTTATTTCTGTCAAAACTTTACTACTTCAACAGAACATTACGGCTTGGTGAAAAATCATAATGAAATAATCATACATAAATAGATGACATCTGTTGCATGTGTGAGACTTATCTCACAGTAAAATCAAATTAAGTCCAGTTTTATTGTGGCCAAGAGCAAAGGTTGCAGATGGTGCAGTAAGTCTTGAGAATGATGAATGAGAATGACTATATGAATTTGTCTAGCTCAATCATAGTTTTGAATGAGAATCTCCTTGAAGAGAGAGGATTCACCATCACTGTTTCCCTTTGCAGTAACCTCTAGAGAGGACTTATATCTCAACAGCATTTTAAATGCTCCCATATTGCAAAAATACAATATACTTACAAATATCTATGTCTTTTATAAGATTCAAACACAAGCCCAAAACTATGGCAGTTGGCTCACCTACCACCAAGCCAAAAGGATGGCTAACATCACTTTTGACAAATATATATAACCTCAACTTGCTTTAATATCTTAATAAAAGCTTTATAGGATGTCTGAGATAAAGGGACAAATGCTTGGTACAAAGCCTCATCTATGTAAAAATACATCATCAATATTAAATTTTTGTTGCACTTCCAGGTTTCATAGGCCTCTTTGAGATTGGGGAATTTGAGAAACTTCAATCCAAAGCCTGATGCTTCAATTCAGATTCATAGCTATGAATCAAATATATTTTCGTGACCTGATACATTGACTCCATAGAAAATATCTAAACATTCATTTAAAAGACTTCAAGGCAAAATTCCATTCATATTGTTAAGTGCTGGATTTGGAGCATAAATGCAGATAGTAACAATTTTGAAAGGTTAGAATATCTCTATTAACCTTTGAAGAGCTGCATATCTAATTCAGGTAAATTTCCAAAATTCATTGGTCTTGTCTCATTTTGATTTGATCTACATTGTATTTACTTTTAGAACAGAATCAAAATTATATATTTCAAAAATAGTTTGATGTATTAGTTTATTTTATCAGTGCATAAATAATTAGATATAGATATCATACATATTTCCAATGTCGAGGCTTTATACCAGGGTTGCAAATAGCTAACAGAAGAGGGACATAATTTCGAAAGGCTTCTATTTTTTCTTTCATAGTCTCAGCAATAGTCCTAGTATCAGGCTGACCAGCAAATGTTTTAATAAGCTTGAACATCACTTTCCACATATCGTCAACTTGATCTCGAATTTCTTCTGCATTCAGCTCCCGAAATGGACCTAATATGAAGGTACAGACGTTTAATATTTTAAGAACTGTATTTTTCTTTAATATAAATAAAATATAACTTGAAAAAATTACCAATTATAATACTCAGCATTTATAAAATAGTACGGATTTTAAAATTTCAAATTAATTTCTCCAGCTTTATTACGTATTACATACATATAATATGTAATTATACATATATTAATTAATGAAATTATACATATATTTATTATATACATGTAATATGGACTCACAGATAAGATGTCTCTTGATTGTTGAAGCTGTTTTATCAAAATAAGGTTTTTATTCAATATGACCTCTTAGAGTTGAAGATGTTCTTTAAGAAAGATAATTAAATGGCTTACATATTGTTATGGAGTTATCAAGGTCTCCTTAAATAATCATATCAAATGAAGTGGAAAACTTTATTTATAAAGTGATCATAATTTTTTCCAAATGAAGCAAAACAGCTTAGAATTGAACACAGCTTAGAACTTCACTGAGATCAGAGATATAATGCTGAAATTCTCCTTGACTTAAAGTATATATTACAAATTATAAAATCATTCACAAAATGAGGATTAAATCACTGAGTAGTAAATTCAATGGTCCATAAATCAATGCACAGAAAATGTATTTATAATTGACCTGAACTCAACTGAGTAGGGTCCGTCCTCTCTTGTTTTTACCTTAGCTCAAGAGGGTATACATTATGAGAACCTTCTAAAAAAATCAGTGTTGAAAAGTTTTCAATTTAGGGTAAAAATTTCTCGCCAAGACATCGTAAGGGTCAATGGTTTACGCCTGTAGCTTTTTTCAATATATTATCAGTGGTTCAATATAAGTTTATACAGAATTACCAGTTCTACAAAATAATCAAGGAATTAAACACATGCAAGCACCGTGAGTATCCTCAAATTGAAGAACATATAAAATATATGAGGAAAAAATAAGGGTTTCTTAAGAGACAAAACAGACTTATATTTTGGGAAATAATATATGTTTTGAAATTTAAGTTCATTTTCTCTTGAAATATTGAAGACAAAAATAAAATAAAAATCAATGAAAAATTTTGTTAAAAAACATAACCTACATTACAAAAATACATACAGACAATTTAAAAAATATAAAGTAGCTTGCTATTAAGTTCAAGCAACGCATAGGAAAAACACATTAGCAAAATCATAACTTAGTGATATAATTAAGTTTATAGTCAGGACTCTGCAGTCGGTAGGGAAAATGACCGACTCCAACTCTGACTCCGACTCCTGGAATTTTAATGACTCCGACTTCCTCATATATATATATATATAATAATTAAAGAAAAGAGAACAAACTATAAAAGACCGATGTGGTCAAAAATTTGCCCATTGAGCTATATACAGTACAAAGTCTGTAATCCGGACGTCCATAATCCGGAATGATCTATAATACGGACCTCAAAGCTGCAAACTTTATGCGCATGCGTAAACGCATTATGCGCGTTTAATGTATAATAACGGACGGTATAAACTAGGCTAAAATTATCTAAAGCATTTCAGTTAATGTTGCAGATTGCGCTGTTCCTTAATCTTCTAATATGTAAACATATGCGCATGGGTTACAGCTTATTTTTTAATATAAAATAAGTAATAGATGTACAGGAAAAAATATGGCATAGCAAATTATTATATTAATTAGCCTGTATGAATGAAAAACTGCATTAGTATTTCAAGAAACAGTATAGCTTCAGCAATATTCTTTGTTGGGCCTATAGATCCGTTTGATAACTTCAGGCTGAATAGTCTTTCCACATAACTTGATAGGAGGAAGACTATAGGTTAGGGCTATCTTTTAACTTTTCATGATGATTTTTATAAGTTCTAAAAGAGGTGTCTTGGCAAGCCCATCATATTTCTCTATTTTCAAAGCCATGTAGAATCTTGTTTGATTTTTTTTTTTTTTTTTTTTAATTTTTATATCTAACGGTTCTGGTTATTATTTCATTCGCTTGCTAGCCTTTCAATATATGAAAAATTCTAAAATCTAATTCTCCTAAGAGGTGATAGAGACTCAGTGCAAGTCTGCAGTTTGACTGTCTGATTCGAATTCCCATTGTTCTGAGAATATCATTCTTAATGAAAGCATAGATGACTTCTTTAACTTTTAATTGTTCGTCATCAAGAAAATCGGTGTTTCGGATCTACATATTTGAACCCAGCAAGACCTCATCTTCGCAAACTAGTTTCTTATCTTATTAAGAAATGATTCTCTGCAAAACCTGCCATTTCGAAAGAAACAAATCCTTCTTCCACTGTCACCCCCGTCATTCTTCAAGATTGCAGCTTTTTGTGGCTATTACGGTTGAAAGAAGAGTTTTCCAATTCTGCAAGTCATTCCACAGTCTTCTCTTAGTTGAAAATTAGATTTCTATTTAAAAAAAGTTCTTAATTCTAAAAACTCTTATCATCAAATATGTACTCCTTATCGTGTTGCTGATAATAATTGCTCCTTTTTCTGCTCGCTTTTAGAATGGCATCATTTTAGAGTCTTGCTGTTACCTAAGTTACCAGTGAGATTTGCAACTAAATGATCAGTTTTGCTATGGCAAATATCACTTCCATCATTATATTATATACAAGTATTAATATGTCATAAAATAGAAAATAATTATTTTTAATGATACAGTCCGTAAATAAAAAACATAAACAGCTTGTATTACTGTTTCAAAAGAATATAGTAAAGTTAAATTAAATTTAAATAATCCCTGCATATTGCAAGGAATGAAATTTGAATTTAACAAACATTCTCTATTCATAAAAAGCAAATTAAGTTAATTAATTTTAAATGAAATTGAATTCAAATAAATGATTAATTATTGCTGAAACTAATCTACATATCATTCAAATTATGAGAGCAGATGTAAATACAAATGCTTAACTCAATTTTTGGACAGGAAAATTAAACTGGAATTTAAATTATTGCTAATATCACTATGAAGTATTGTATTTAGCTATGAAATAGAACTAAGTAAAATTAAGTAAGCTAAGTGCAAAAATAATTTATAAACTAAAGAAAACCAAATTATTAGAACTTGAAAATTTGCTTTTTACGAATAGAGAATGTTTGTAAAATTCAGATTGTCATTAATTTTTTTTAATTCATTTTAATTTTATTTCAAATTCAAACTGTCCAACAAAAACTGGAGCCGGAGTCTACTGGAGCTGGAGCCGGAGTCGACCTGTTTTTAGAGACTCCAGCTGCGACTCCTTTTACCCCAAAATCTGCCTGACTCCATGACTCCAACTCCACAGCTCTGTTTATAGTAAATGTTTCTAGAAAAGTTTATTAATTTATGATTTCACATATTTTAATTTAATTTATACCATTTTATCCAGATGTTAAAAATTCTCAAAATAGGTTTTACCAAAAATTCAAAAGCTCTGAAAAATAAGTATTCACCCTAACCATATAAAACAGGTATCATTACATTTCGGTTGACTTAATTTCACTGACACTTTCATAGATATAATATACAGACCTATGCTCATTAAAAGCACTATTGCCTGTTCTTTTACAACTGTCTTCAGCTCTTTAAAGGTACTGCATGTTAAATAAAACACCTAACACAGAAATTAAAAAAAAAGAAAAACTTATTGTTATATTTAGATTTTTCTGAAACAATTTTAAACTAAATTAACAGGTACTTTTTTGTTATTCAGATTGTATATATATTGTATGTATATATGTATGTAAAGGTGTGAATGTATGCTTGTACATACGTATGTGTGTTCATATACACACATACACTTCTGAATCTGGTTTCAATGACAGAAGAGTACTGATAATCATGATAGGCAAACTATTGCAGTTTAATCTTCTTAGTGGCAATAACCATCTTTATTCAACCATGAGATTTTTTGTTTTGTTTCAGCAAACCTTTGCTGAATGCAAGTTTACATCAATAACACATAGCATGTATGGCAAAATTGCATTTCATAAAGTTAATTCCCTGTGGAAAAATGGATTGGTATAGTTCAGATTAAGTATATATAATTTTAACATATTTAGTATATATAATTTTAACAAATCTAAATATTATTGTAAATGAAAGAGAAAAATGAAATAAATGTAAATTGAAAGGATTTCTATTATTGCTTAATAAGTAGGTACGTAATACAATTATATTTTTTAAATAACTGATGATTTTTGCTTGGAAAAGTGTCTGATGCATCTCATTTAAAGTTTTGATGCAAGAAATGCAGAGTTTTTCAATTCCTCTCATAGAGTGTGTTCTTTTTCTTCATGTGGGTTAATCTCCATTATAAAATCAGACAGTTTCTGTAAATTTTAACAATTAGTTTAACTTCTTGTACATTAAAGGTTTTTTATTATGCACCATCGCTGCTTTCACCGTCAGTTGGTGTTATAAAATCATCCAGTTCTTCATTTGTCATTTCAGATTTCTCATTCTCAACTAATTCTTCGAATTCTCCTTCTTCCAGATCTCAAAATTCCTTGCCATTTATTGCTTTTGCAATGTGTGCAGTTTCTTTGGCTTCATTTTCAATCAATGGAAATTCTTTAATATTGCTGACAAATTTTGGCTCACCTTGATGCCAACAAGCATTTATTTTTGATGAATTCACATGTTCTGCTGTGAGTTTAAATCATTTATATGCAGTGTCTTACCTTGAATTGCATTTGAAATGCCATTAATGCATCACTTTTTTCCTTCATCTAGTGCTTTATTTGCAGAGATGTAAGCATGCATAACATAATAGGCTTTGAATAATTTTATGACTCCTTGATTAATTGGCTGAATTAAGGAAGTGGTATACGACGGAAAGAATAAAACCTTTACATTTGAATGCAATGTTATGAGGGTTTCAGCACTGTATTGTGGAGCATTATTGAGAATTAAGAGAATTTCAAAGCTCAGATTTTGCCGTCCTAAGTAATGCTTGACTTCTTAAATGAATAAATTTTCAAACTACTCATTAAAGACGGTTGCTGAAATGCAGCCAGCACTGTTCATCTTACCGTGTGTAACTAAATTTCTTGCACTGGATAAATGAAATGGAAACTATCAAGATAGCACATATACCAAAATCACATTGCACAAGTTAGAGTTCAGAAAGGGTTAATGTATTTGGCATACATTAGCTTATAATTGAAGTTTTTAAAAATTATCTTATTTCCTTTAATGATGTTCCTTTATGGGCAATTTTTACTTTGCCGAGCATGAATTTTGTGAAGCTAAAACAATAACACTTGCGTTAAAAAAAGTCTACATAAGAGATATATTGCATGTTTTCAAGGTAAATTTAAAAGATATAAGGAAGGAAAAATTACTGTGCATTATAATATATTACAATAATATTTGTAACTACATGTTGCACATATACAAAACCAAAAAGTAAACTTACCATAATACCAAATTTCATAATTTTTAAAAAATTCATATGATGTAACCCACAGTTTCTCATATGGTTCTTTTTCTTGGAACATTATTGGAATAGATGGATGAAGAGTGAGATCATGGCCCAATAACCTTTCCTCCTCATTTATAACCTAAAAATATTTTTGTTGCATTTGATTAGCATTCTTGTGCCACATTAATTAAATAAAATAAAAGATTGAAAATTTAACTGTAAATTTTTAGTTCTGTGTTTATTATATTCAATAAAATATATTTTAAAAAATCAGAAGTAAAGTTTAATTACTTGCCCTATGTTCAAAGTTGGTTATAGTTATAAGAAATTATTTAACTAGTATTCATTTTCATATTTATGTAATAATTACTTATATGAATTACTTTTTAAGAGAATGTGATTTTAAAATAATATATTCATAAAAAATAATGTGTTATTTAATGTGCATAGACTATTTGTACACTTTGATATCTTTTAAAAATTTTGACTTTAAAAGCATTAATTTAATTAGTTAAAATTAATTAAATTAAAATTTAAAGTAATCATTTGGTACTAACATGCTGGATATTGGATTTATGTATGTGCATAAATAAATTTGCTATTGTTGCAAATGCCAAGCAGTTATCGTTTAAGCCATTAAGTATTTAAATGAATTTTTAACAAATGACTATAATGAGTGTGTGTGAACTAGATGTTTTAAGTGAAAGAACATGCCCTAAAATTAAATACAATTTTTTCCCGTTAAAATGCAATTTTTTTTTTGGTTTCTGACTAGATGGTAAAAAAACAGAAAATAAATAAATAAATAATAGGAAGAAGGGATGAAATTTTGGATGCAGTTGAATACAATGTATAAATAGTAAAATTAATCAATTATAATACCAGCCCTGGTGTAAATAACATATTAGAAGTAGTTTCTTAAATATTTCTTTCAATATTTTAATACTCTTAGCTCTGCTTACTTATTTGATTCTTTTCACTAAAATGTTTAGCCAGACTCACATATTTTCACACAAACTCATTCAAAATTTAAATATAGTCTGCATGGATTATGCTTCTACAGATGAATGAAAAATGCTTTTCCAACATAAATGCTTTATCAGCTATTCAAACCTGAAAGATGTTCAGTTCTTAAAAAGCAGAAATATTGAACAGTTACAGGAATTGAAAATGACAAGCACATTACATACATTGATTTTGGAATCCTTTAAAAAGAAAATAATAATAATAATAATAATAATAATTAAGTTATTGTGATCTGCAAGATTTTTTTTTTTTTTAAAGATTAATTTATAAAAGTCTATCTAAATTTAATCAACCAGACATGTTACTCAATGACAGCTTAGATTTTTATTTTTCATAATCCATAGTTAATAACTATGTAAAATCTAAGAAATAACCCATAAATAATGAAATACATATTATAATAATAGTTTTTTTTTACAGCTAATGCTTCTTTGGCTTCTACTAAGGATTCATGAAGATATCGCAGATTTTCAACAGCATCCCTTGATTCACTTAATGTTGCTTCCTAACAACGAAGAAAAAAAATATATATATTAAACTTAAAATATGATTGATTCTAAAATGAAAGTAATAAAAAGAAAGATAAAAGAGCTTCTATAAAAATTCAGTCATTTCTTATAATCAATCAAAGCTTTTATTATGCATTAAAATATGCTTTATTATTGCTTTAATTAATAAAACATTATAAAAGTGATCAATAAGAATTCATGAAAAATACCTGAGTTAAAGGCAGATTTTTAACTTTAAAATAACAACCGTCTAAAATTCTGTTCAACATATTAATTCTTTCCACAAGTTTATTTTCAGCATCTTCCCTCTTCTTGCGCAACTCAATTGATGTCTCTTTGAATAATTTTGACATAATTTTTGGCCATCTGAACATTGTACTGTGACACATTAACTGTTTCTCTGTGGGAGAAAAATCACTTTATTTTCAATACAGTTTTAAATAGAAGCATATAATTAAGTTTAAAAAATTAAAACTCATTTTTGCAGCTAATTTTAAACAAACATGAATAATTCATTACCAGAAATAGAAAAAACAGATTATGTAACAAATACTTTTGGCTGCTTAGCAATATAAGAAAACACTGCTTGACGATTACTAAGGAATATATATTTTTCAGAATAATTAATAAATAGACATTGATTGAAGAAAGTAAATTTATCACATATTTAGTGAAAGTATTGTGCATTATTTACGATGCTAAATGGCATAGATTTAATGCCATGAGATAGGAAAAAAAACAACAAGAAAGATGCTTATTGAACACACAGAACTCACAGTAAATGCTCTTTCCTATCGAAATGATATGAATCCTTGATTAAGGTATACAATCTCAAACACTAATGCATGCTTTATACCTGTTATGCAAGCTCTCCACTAAACTATTAATAACAGTTTAGGAGATATTGTTTCCATTAGAGCAGTAGTGGAAAGCCTTTTTGGGACCGCATGCTCCAAACCTTTTTTGAGGGGGGTGTGCCGAAAACCTCTTTGATTAAATCCCCATCGAAGAGCGGTTTACCATGCTTTGCCAGGCACAGTGAAATTTGAAAGCTGGCCATTGCTAAATGGTTTATTTTAGAAAGATAATTGCAAAAAACAAATTTTCCGATAATTATAATTCCTTAATTTCCCTTCAATAAACAACCTTCCATTCAGCTCCATTAAGTTCGGCAACAATCTTGTTATTGGTGTTAAAGTGCCACCTGACACTAGATATGCAACACACAATACTTTCCTCGCACAGAATGCATAATGCTTTCCTATTGTGTTCAATAACTCCAAATAAGTCTGTCCAGGTCCTTGAAATAATCTTCCACTTTTAATGTTAAATTTTGCCTTTTTTGTTGGAGTCATTTATGAGGGTTCAAGAGTTGGAATATAGAAAAGCAAAAAATTTTAAAATGAAGCATTAAATATAAATCGATCATATACTAAAAAGATGTAACATTATTAGCCAATAGTAAGGAACTGGATTTTCACGAATCAACAATCTATGGCTGCAGATTAAAATACGAATAGGAGACAGCAGTAACGTTAACCCGGATGTCTCTTTGCTAAACTTCTAACTTTAGATTTCATATGCTTCTTTTCGGCTTTATTGGGCTTATTTTGGCTGAGTGCATGTGAATAAACTTGACTTCCCTACTAAGCTTTCGTGTTTTGCTATATTATCAAATTGCATATGTTTACATTATATTTGTACATTCAGTTTAAGATATTAAAATAGAATTATTCATAAGTTACCCCAAAATCCCTAGATCTGAAAATTGGAATCTATTTAACAATGAAAGTATTAAAACTAACTGGCAGTCTGCAATAAATTTGAATTCGTATTGCAAACATTAGCTGCTTCTAGTTTGGCATACACTTTGTCATGTAACAAGTAATGTGATTGGCCCAAACAACTGAAACATCATAAATTGAGTCAATGACCATGTATATCATTTCTATGGCGATATATGAAAATCTTATATCTAGGCTTATAGGACCTATGCTAGTGGCATTATGTGACAAGTAAGTGAAACATTCAAGAACATACTAAAACACTTATTAAAATTACATAGTATCATTTTACTGTGATTATTGATTAAGGAAGTAATATTTTAGTCATGTGCTGGCTGATGAGGCTCTGCATGCTGACTGTGGCATACATGCCATAGGTTTGCCATCACTGCATTAGAGGTTTTCAGACATTTCATCTGTCCTCTGTGTGTGTGCACTGTCATTTAAAGAGAAGAAAATCTGGGTTTACTGTATCATTGAAAAGATGGCTATGACCCAAGAGAATCTCAATTACTATTCAGCATAATAACCACCTTCCAATCACACCTTGGCACTAGGGATCTTATGCATATTCTATTATTGATATAAGGTTTCCATATAACCTCCACACTAACTGGTACTGAACAGAATGTCCACAAAGCTGATTACTATAGCAGAGGAGTCGGTGAATGAATGGGAATAAAGTATTACACACAATGGCAGGAACATCACTTCACATGTTTGAAAGTAGGTATCATCACATTCTAGTGGTACTGCATCAAGATTTATCTGGGTCATGCTCAACTTTTCAGTGGTACAGTGGTTCTAGCTTTTTGTTCATGAACAATAATGGATGCCCACACAGGACAGTAGAAATACCCGAGATTCTCCAAAGCAGTATTTCCCAACACGAGGCCCATGCCTCACAAGGTGACAGTTTGAAAATGGAATCGTCCAGAGTTTAAGTGGACAAGGACATTAAACTTTCCAAATTTTCTTCAAGAAGTCAATATTTTCAACATTTAATTTTTTATTCCCAAAAATAAAGAATAAGGTGAGTGATGTATATGCAAAAATTTTTTAATTGTGGTGCATTTTAAACCTTTTATAAAGAATTTTCGCTGCAGACATGGTCATTTAAATGCTTTTAAAGGGCATTTAAATAGCTGACACATTACAATTTCCAGACATTTTTTGCACATGTCAGCCAACGAATTCATTTTTTTACTGTAAGAGCGGCAGCAAGTATATTATTTTTCTTTTGAATGGCAACAGCAGTTGCTTTCAGCTTTGTTTGTATTTAACGGTATGACAAAGTTTTTAATTGATCTTATATTTATTTGTTTCAGCCCTTAATTTTAAGGCACATTTGAAGGTAAAACGCACTACTCATATTAATTCAGATTTAAGTTATTTTCAAACTTTAAAGAAAAAAAAATTGAAAAAAGTAACTTAAAGTCTCTATTTACTGCTCATAATGCAGCTGTTAATCATACTCTTGAGGCTAGTTATCAAATTTCATTACTCATTGTTAAATCTGGGAGAAGTCATACTATAGGGGAGAATTTAATCAAACCATTAATATCAGCATTTCTTAAAACTGTTCTAGAAAAAGATGACAAAGACGTTAAAGCTATGCCACAAAGTAACAATACTGTTAGCCGAAGAATAGATGAAATGAGAGAGGATATTGAAATAAAATTTGTTCAATAGCTGAAAACAAAAACTTTTCAATGCAAATGGATGAATCAATTTTGAGAGACAGTGAGGCTGGACTTATAACTTACATAAGCTATGTTGATAAAGGTGTTAAGCTATGTTGATAAGGATATGTTGTTCTGTAAATCATTAGATAGCACTATTACTTCCAAAGACATTTATAGTAAGCTAAAAAATTACTTAGATGTCAAAAACATACCAATGAAAAATCTAACATCCTGTGCTACAAATGGTGCTCCTAATATGATGGAGAAGAAACAGAGTTGCTGAAAATTGATGAAAGATGTGAATCCAGAAATGCGTCTTGTGCATTGTGTTACTCAAAGAAAAAAAAACCTGGAAACTAAAAACATTTTGCCTGTTCTAAATGAAGTACTAAATTCAGTTATAAAATGTATTAATGCTATTAAAAGTAGTGCCAAATGTGAATGTCTCTTCAAGTTATTTTGTGAAGAACAAATGAAGACTATGTGAGACCTATGCTTCCCACTGAAATAAGATGGCTGTCAAAAGGAAACTGCCTGAAAAGATTTTTGGAACTATTCGATATTCTTAGTTATTTCTTAAGTGACAAACCTGAAATGAAAAATCTGTTAATAGTTGAAATCTTTGCAAAACTAAATGGATTAAATAAACAAATTCAAGGAGCAAATAAAACTCTGTCAATGCAGAAGCAAAGATATTTGGTTTCATTACATTTATTGAATTATGTCAGGCATATATTTACAACAAAAGATGTTAAAATTTCATTCATTTAAAAAATGCGAAGTGACTGATACCGAGATACAGGTTATTGTCGATCATCTGAAAATTTTATTGGCTGCTTTAAAAGAAAGATTTTCTGATTTGAAACATATTGATTTCCCGACTTGGATAATGCAGCAGAGCTGGGACGAGGGTGAGGCACTTACCTCAGGCGAATCACTAGAAGGGGCTCCAAATTGGCTATATGAATTCGAAAATTATGTTTTTAAATTTGTCAGTTATTATTAGAGGACATAAGCTTCGTCAAACTTAAATCAATAAAACAATAGGAAGAATTGCAAGAAAACCTGAAAATTAATGCAATGTGCATTTCGATGTTATTTCTTACTTATCAAAAAAGAATTTTTTGACATTTTCATTTGAAAGTTATAAATAATTGGCTATATTATTTTTCTGGATTTATAAACAATTAAAATGATTTAAAGATTATAATATAATTAATTATGATAAATTGATTTAATACATTTACTTTGTTTAATACAAATATAGCTATTTTGATATATATATAGGGGTGCACAATTACCTTTTTGCATCGGGTGAAAAAATATCTTGGCAGGGCTCTGCAACCAATGTTAGTGGATTTGTCTGATATTTCAAATATGCAGTATCAAGAACTCACAGATATGCAAAATGATGGCTCAACTAAAACTGTATTTAATATAGAAGGAGCAATGAATGGTTTTGTGAGGAAATTAAAATCAAATATCCAAATGCAACAAAATATACAAGAGACCTATTGTTACTGTTTCCACATTCATATTTAGCTGAATGCAGATTTAGTGTATAAGGTATTTCTCCTACCTTATTAGCATGCCTTCATAGTGTAGTGATCAGCACACTCAGCATGTACTTGAGAGGTCTGTGATTCGAGTCCCGGTGAGGGCATTGCTCAGTTTTCATGTCTCCCACATCGAAATAACCTATAGACTCTACAATGGAGCCCGAACTTGTTGAGATATTTGTAATCGCATTTTCATTAGTTAAAAATATCTGTCACATCTGATGAATTCTGAAACTTAATCCTATTTTATTTGTTTATATTTTCTTTATGTTATATTTCATTGACTGTTTTATGTGTCGTGTTTATGATTCGCTAAATTATGATCTGCTGTAAAGTGATATATATATATAACCTCTGTAAACCTTTTCT